CGCTGCTATATAAATGTGAAACGATTTCGAATGTATTCGACTGTTCTTTGATTTACAAGCATAGAGAAGCCGAAAAGGTTCGCTATCTTTTCGGAAGCGCAACGCTCCTATATAAAAGTGAAACGATTTCGGAACGTGTCTTAAATCAAAGTCGTTATTGGAACAAGACATCATTGATCAACTTGGGATCAGTATAGTTAAGCCAATTATCATCTAAGAATGAAATGTTATGTACTCTAGTCTTAATCAATTTTATAGGTTTGTGTGTGGAAAAGATTGGAAAAAACTCCCTGTTGCAGAGGCATACTTTCTATCGTTAGCTTTGGTATTTCCAATTATTCCTTTATTAACTTCAAGAAAAATGTAAATCGAATAGAAAATACGTAGTTTTTTAACAACTCGGTATAAAAAATACACATAAAATCTTCAACATTGACTTTTTACAACTTCCTTAATACCAAAGATTGAAGAACTTTTCAAAAGATCTTTAAAACTCCCTACAACTGCAAGTAATATACGACCATATAAGTAATAGTATATTTCCTCCACCCCATTTACCAAAAAAAAAAAAATGAATTGAATTCAATCTCAAAATAAAAACAACAAAATTTATACACTTTTACGGCAAACAGCACATGCCACCATCATAATTTTACATTTATCAACTTCACACACTCCAACAAACAGACGGACGGACGGACACTCCACCAACAGAAATTCACTCGCATTCGGTATGAACAAGGAAGCAACAACAGCGATCATTAACATGCAGGTATTCTCATCTCAAGTATGAGAAGTCAACAATAATTTGTTGTTATTGTTTTTTTTGTTATTATATGAAATAGGAATTTCTCAGTGTTTTGTGTTTCATTTCCCACAGTGTTACGCATTTGAGTCTATTTTTGGGTTTTTTTCTATTTTCACTGTGGAAATTCATATAAGAATTTCTAATTGGGGTGGGTTTTTCTTGTGTTTTTTCGGGTTTTTTTTTTCACTAAAGGTAAGTAAATTTTAGTTTTGAGTGAAAATATGATCCCCCTTTTTATAAATTTTTTATAGAAGTGTATATATTTTTGAGGACTACATCATCTGTGTTTATGATGGAATTATGTGAGGTGTCATATAGTAACTTACATACATATAACATCTGTGTTCTAATGCTTGTAATGGAGCTGTTCTTGTAATGTTGTTTCTATTGTTTCTGCTACTCAATTTGTTTGTTTGCTTTCCCATTGGTTTTTTCTCTCAAATTTCTAGGTGTCTTTTCGTATTTAAATATGTGTCAATATTCGCATATTTAAAGTGTTTAAAATGTTATTGAAATCTATCGTGGGGAATTGTTAGTTTGGTTACAAATTGATTATTGGGGTATATATCTTGTGAATTTTGGATTATAGAATTTCTGGGAATTTTTACAAAGTTTCTGTTGAATTTAAAAGGCGAGGTTGTTTGGTCATGAGATCGTTTGGAAAATTTAAATAGTTTAGTGGGAAATTTTCAAGTTCAAATTATGTATATAAATTGTTATGAGATCTGTAATTGAGAATGTAGAATTTGAAAATATTATTGTCATTAATCATTTAAAAAACAATTTCTAGATTGGCATTGAAGATGTAAGAAGGTTATTAATTCTGTCTTTAGTTATAGTGAGTCCAAAACAGAATCTGTAGAGAATACTCAAATTTGGATCTGTTTAAGAGTTAATAGTAAACCCTTAATATAAATTTGCGATAATTACGTTCGCAATGAGAGAATTTTTAAGATCGCTTCTATTTAAAAGTTTTGGAAATTTACCAAGCTTTTCGAAATGATATACTTCGCTTCCCTTGTCGAGGAATCTATAACATATAAGGACTCCATGAATAGCATTTTCTCAATGAGAAAAGTTTTTGAACAATAACCATCCGAAATAACTGATTATGATTTTTCAAATCATATATTTTTTGAGTCATCGAAGAAGTTGCTAAAATTTTTAAAAATTTTTTGCTTGAAAAGAGAAAACTGATTATAAGTTACCGACTCTCCTGACTCTCAGGTGATAAAGTTAAATCTAAGACCGTGTTGGATTGTCAGAAGGCTTTAAGTACTAGGCCACTCGGCAGCATCGAAATGGCGAAGGTAGTTAACCTGACGAACACAAATCGCTCGACGCACCGAAAGCTGATTTCGATATATGTGTGAGAGAAACAGGCCTTATGGCTCTTGGATTAATGAAACGGTAGGTAGAACCACAAAGATCCTATGGGGTGATCCTAACAAGAGTAGAACAAAGAGTCTTATCAAAATGAGCAAGTCTGAGGGTATGTATTCTGAATGGAAACATAGGATTACGGGCGAATGTAAAGATATAGAGAGGACAGTGAAACTCTGGAGAACTTTTTTTTAACATTGTCAGGCTTTCGTCGAAATTAGATCCAGATATCTTGGGAGTGATATTATTCCACATATATCACACATCCCTCACGAACATTGATTGAAATATTCTTTGAAATTGCGTTCAGGAAACAGAACTTCTGAACATTGGACGATAATACATTCAGTTAATGCTATATAAGGTTTTTGTTTTTAACAAGAAACATTTTCCATGAAAGGGAAAGGAGCACTACGGTCTCGACAGTTACCTAGGTTTATTTCTTTGGATTTGATATAGTATACATTCTACTATCAGCCTAATCTAAACTACCGACTCTTCAAATTAAGATTAAGTGGTTAAATTGCACCTCTCCCGTCTTTTACGAGGGTTTCGTCAACCGATTTCTGGAGTATCAAGAACTTTAAACTCGTATTCGAAAATTTTTTATTGAAATTCAGCGAAGGACTTAAAAAATCTATGGTTCACTTATCCATTGACATAAATGATCTCGCACATAGTTTTCTCTTATAAATTCGGTACATTTGAGTGGTTTTTAACGAAGTTCTTCAAATCGATTTAGCTTTCTCTTGTAAGCTATGATATCCCAAAGATTTCCTTTTAAACGTCTCTGGATTGCAATCAATTGAATATATTTCTTTAATACTAAGCGATCTGAATCACAACTCTTCCCAAATCAAGATCACATATATATAAATTCCGGTTATTGCTATTAGGAACATAGTTCCATTCTCGTTTATCTGTCGCCGCATTCTTTAATTCGCTCCACGACTTGTTGGCCTTTGTTATCTCCATGTCCGGTTGTCTGCGCCATGTGTGACTTGGACGGCCTTTTCTGCGGCTTCCCTGCGGATTCTAGTCTATTGCGTATCTAGTGATGTCGGATTGTGTTCTTCGCAGAGCGTGCCCAATCCAACGCCATTTTCGTTTTCGTATATCATGTTTAACTGATGTCTGTGCGGTTTGTTCCCAAAGTTGCGTGTTGCTGATAGTATTTGGCCAAAATATTTTCAGAATTCAGCGTAGGCAACGGTTGATAAAGATCAAAGCTAAAAAACAATAGTTTATAATTTTAGGAACTTTTTACTTCTCCCATGCTAATGAAGAAGTAAAAAGCTACCTTTAGAATATTATTTCATTGAAATTTATCCAAATTTAAATGATATATTCCTATAGATCCTGATCAAAGTTTTCTTAAATACTTCACGATTTGAGGCACCAAAATCAATCCAAAAAGTGATATATGTATATTCCGAAGAAAGCTGAAAATTAAGCTTTTCTGTAGATAAATTAATTTAGAAATAAGATATTTGACATTGAAGAAGTAAGTTCCTAGGAATTTAACATATGCTAGAGATTTACAAAATGTTTTATCGGGTCTTAATCAACACTTTGAGGAACTTAAAGTTCGAACACTGAAGATGAAGAAATGATTCAAATGATTTTTAAATATTACACAGGGTAAGATTCTCAATATAGTTGAAGGATATAATGGAAAACAAATATCTGTTTTCATTACCATCAATAATAAATCAAGACCCGACTCAGTAAAAAGTAAATTCATAACCTCAGAATCCTTCTGTTTGTAATGATACTCCTCTGCCAGCATTATTCCATTTATTTGGTGAAGCTCCTAGTCATCAATCATCAATTTTTTTAGCTTCTTTGGACTATTTGGCAGATCAACCGGTTCAACATCTTCTTCAGCCTCTTCCACATATTCCAGCACTACCAACAAATATTATCGTTTCCTGAGTGATAAATGCAACAGGACGTACTCTAGGCAAAGTGAAAGATCTATTCCTAATGATTCCTAATTGATGTTAAACTTCTCGTTAAATACTGAACAATTTCTTCGTAATAAATCGAAATTTACTAGAAGATCCAAAAGTTTTCCATTTCCTGGATAAAACATAAAAACCATAAGCTTAATAGCAAATGACAAACAAACTTTAAGCATAATCTACTTTGGAGTCCTTTCCATAACTTAAACTCGTAAAGTAAAATACTTTGCATAACAAAAACAAATCTTAAACATATTATAATAAGAAAAATTCCCTCAAAACTTATGGAAAATCTTTAGATCCAAAAACAAAAGTACTGATCAATTTTGATTACCTGCATTGCATGGACAGAAAGATTGAGGTGAATTTCTTTGATTATCATCACATTGAGGGATTCTGACGTATTTTCCACTATGAATTGAAAAACTTCCCAATCTGAATATTATTTTGGTTGATGGACGAACTCTCCCTCACAATCACCAGACGTACAAACACACACACACAAACTCCGGTGGTATTCAGGTAGAAAAGTGAACTCGCAGTAAAAAAGGCAAGTAGCAGCAGCAGCAACAGCCCTTTAAAGTGAAAATAAGGGAGAGTAAGAGCGAGAGAGGTAGAAATTATAGGAGAGATAAAGTGATAACACATATTCTAGTGTGCATATGAGAATCCACCACCGTTTTTCGTTTAGAGAGCTGGCATATAAAAGGAGGCGCAAAGAGCTAACCTGTCATAGCAGCTCAAACGCTCAAACAGTAAACAACACAATTCAAACTCAGTGAATATTTTGAAAAATACTCGTGATTTTTAAAAACATTTTTGTTTTCGATTTCTTTTATTTTGATTTAATAAATAACAACTAATAATATAAACTCAAAAAATGGCCACCAACTACAAAAGTTGTCCATTGAAAAAACGCCCCATTGTCTATGTTAAAGACGAAGAAGAACTTTTGCAACAACAAGCACCCATTGTGCACTACGAACAAATGGAAGCCTTGGCTTTGACTAAGTCTTCCAATGTTAGTGATAATGATGATCAACCACAAGATTTATCATTGAAACGTAAAGCTAGCGACAGTTTCGAGGATTATGTCGTACCAGCTAAACGTGAATATGTCTTAAATCTATCTAACAAATCATCATTATCTCCCGCATTGGAAAGACGTTCGGTATCACCGGTACAGGATTTATCTGGCAGTTCTGTTATGTTGACACCACCTTGTGAAATTGACTCCAGCATGGAATATCAACCCAGTGATATTCATTTAAGAGGATTAACTTCTGCCACCAATGGTTATACCACTAATCCTTATCAATCGGCTTTTGTAATGGCTGCTGGTTGCAATCCCATGACTGCTTTATGGAATACCTATCAACCCAATATCTCTGCCATATTCCCCTCACCAGCATCTTCAATTGCCTCAGCTGCATCTCCACGTTCGGCCTACAGTTATCAACACATTACACCACCCTCAAGTCCCGGTTCAGAAGTAAATTCTGAACCTGAGGATCTTTCAGTGCGTAATGATATTCCTCTGCCAGCTTTATTCCATCTATTCGATGAAGCTCCTAGCCATCAATCAGCCAACTCTTCGGCATCCTCGGTCTACTCTCACAGCAGCTCTACAAGTTCATCATCTTCTTCAGCCTCCTCTACCACTTCCAGCTCAGCCAACAAAAATTATCGTTTCAAGTGTGACAAATGCAACAAGATGTACTCCACCTCTATGGGTTTGTCTAAACATCAACAATTCCATTGCCCAGCTGCTGAATGCAATCAGGAAAAGAAGCAACATGCTTGTCAAGACTGCGGTAAACTCTACACCACCATGGGTGCCTTGAAGATGCACATTCGTACTCATACTTTACCCTGCAAGTGCCCCATCTGTGGCAAGGCCTTCTCCCGTCCATGGCTCTTGCAAGGTCACATTCGCACCCATACCGGTGAGAAACCATTCCAGTGCCCCGATTGTCCTCGCTCATTTGCTGATCGCTCTAACTTGAGAGCCCATCAACAAACTCATGTGGAAGTTAAGAAATACGCCTGCAAAGTATGCCACAAATCCTTCTCACGCATGTCTTTGCTCAACAAACACGCCAGTTCCAATTGTACCATTACAATTGCGTAAATATTGGCAACACTACCACAGCCTCAGCCCCAAACCACTAGTACAAAACCCTGCCACAAACCCTTAAGATGTTGAAACTTGAAACATTCCGCTGGAAAGGATTAAATTATTATTTTTTAAAATTATTTTCTTTTTTTTTCTAACAATTTTATTTTATTTTTAAAAGCAAAACAAACAAACAAACCTCATTATTTTAGTATTAAGTTTTATATGGAAGACAATAATTATTATTTAGAGATACTCATAGTTTTAAGTTTATTTTTATCTATTCTTACATAACCTTAAATTCCTAATTATAAGTATTAATTAATGGTGCTATATTGTTATAGTATAAATATTATTCTATTTTTTAACTGAACTTAAATTTTTATTTATTTTTTTTTTTAATTTTGGCATTGAGTTTAAGTTCTAGTCTCTTTTATTTTCTCTTTCTTTTATAATTTTTGTACATTTTTTTTAAACAAATTGGAAGACAGCATTTTACCAAAATTTATTTTATTATTATTTTTAAATGTTAATTAACAATATGGACTTTTTTATATATTTTTTTTTGTAAATTTATTATTAAGTTTATTCTACTTTTTTTTTTGGATATTTTAAAATAAATATATATTTTTGCGAAAATATTTAGAAAAAAACAAAAATTTTACAAAATTCTTTTTATTTAAAAAAATTATTTAATTTAGTTCAAGATTTTTGTTGAAAGTCTAAATTTTAAAAAAAAAGTTTAGAAAGAAATGTTAAGTAAAACTTATTGCATTTGTAGTCGATGCTCAAAGTGAAGTCCTACTGAAATTAAAAACTGGTGGACCTGTGTTAGAGTAGACCGATAAAGGAATTTTATGATTGATGACTAGATGTTTCATCGAAAAAATTTAACAAAACTGGCAAAGGAATAACTTTACGGTTCTTAACAGGGACTTGGGTGTCATACTTGATGGTCGAGGGTGGATGTCAATGTGTTCGACTTGAGTATCTGCCTTGACACGCTAATCTAACGGTGGTATTTTTGATCCAAAGGGAGTAATGATGGCCATCCATTCGTCCTCGGGTGATTTCAAATGGAAATACTTAAGTAACAGTCACTCAAGGGAGGAGGTAATCACTCAGTTGAGTCAAAAAATAGGGGGGTTCCGTTGAACCTCAATCATCACACACTTGATGCGATATTATATCTCTGCCTAACCGCAGAGATGGACTCTCAAGCAATCTAACCTCTGTGATCTAATATGTTGCCATAAACTCCGATAATAAGGACGTAAGGACATAAGGACAACCACCCTTTATGCGCTATTATGATGCTGACTAAGCGCAGCGGTAGGCATCCAGATCATGAGACATTCAGACTTTGAACTTCAATAACCACACTTGATGGTAGACGCTCAGATCATGAGCGACGCCAAAGCAACACAATCCTACAGAGAGTCACCTACATAAGTGGATTCCTTAACCATTTAGAGACCATGCAAACACACTGCCCCTGTTATTTGGGCAATAGAACCTGGAGACATACTTGGTAGCTAATCAAGGACATGGAGCAACAAGAATGAGATTTTTTCAAAAGTTCACCAAGTTCACCAAGAAAATTCCCTCTTCTTGCATGAAGATCATCTAAGGAATAACAGACAGCTATCACGAGTTAACCTTACTATTCCTGGAAATTTGAAGAGGCACAAGGGTTGATCAGTGAATTCCTTAAGAGTTGATCAGTGAATTCCTTAACACTAATCTTTCTGCCAAATCAGCAATTGACATCTGTAGAGAAAAACACAGTACTTTAAGCAGCATTTTCTTCCCCCGATTTGAATTTAAAACAACAGACTACGAGTACCCCGAAAGGACCTAACCAATAACAAGTTGGCACCCTGGGAATCCGATAAGAGAGTTGTCCCGGCAAAACCCCTAGGAGTCTATCCTCTGAATATCAGTGGATTTCGTTAGGTGGTGTTAAGAACTACCAGATAATTCCTTATTTAAGATACTGAACGTCTTTCAAAACATGATTTGTTGAGTTGATTTAAGATATATTCACGTAAAGTGTAAAAGTTTTGGATCCTATTAAGTTTTAATTGTTATTAGAGCAGCAGTTGTTGGGTGAAATTTAATTTTTATAGGTTCCTTCCCCTAGGAATTCCTAAGAGGAAGGTCCTTTCCTAGGAATCTTTGTATATATTTGATATTATGAGTTTTAACACGAGACTGATGAGTTTGGGGTTACTAAGAAATTTTGATCTATAAAACCCTAATGGTGGAAGCTTGCAGAGTACATATTCAAAAGGCTTCTTGTAAACCACATAGACCATAGTATTGCGTAAGTACTTCTGTTGGCTCCTGTAGGTTAGTGGTTAGTGTTCTAGTCTGGTAGACCAGATGTGGTGGATTAGATTCCCACCTGAGGCACTGGTTAGGGAGCGCACAGCAGGCCCCATAGAGGCCTAGGATTTGATGTAACATACATCCTCCTTTCAAACTAACTAACTAACTAAGTACTTCCGTTTTAATTCTAATATCGTCTTTATAAAGCTATAATAAAATTTACAGTCTCTCGGAGTCTTTATATAGATCCCAATGTCGAAAACTCAGATTTAACCCACAAAGTGTAATAGTTTTCCCTGATGTATCCTACCTAGCTGGATGCTAAAAAGGGGACGAATGTAATTATTATACGCCTTTTAGTATAACGTTGCCAAATGAGCTTTTAGTTCAAATTTGTGAATGTTAATTAAGAAGCTTACAACGGAACTAGGTCTAGGCTTTGGGATTTTAATCTTTCAATAAATATCATCAATTGGTTATTGTCAGGCTGTTCGTTAAGCAACTAGTGCAACTTAATGAGTCCCTATCCATAATAAGATAATATGCCTCTAAATTTTAAACTTTACATTTTAGAAAGCTTAAAAGTTATTAATTTTCAATGCTAGTTCGGAAATTCATTGATCGTTATCATCTCCGAGAGATTTTCAAAGGTCAAAGAGAAACTAAGAAAAGGAACTTTCAGGGCTTTTTAAAAAGCTTAAAAGCTTTTAAATATTATTGAATAGGAATGCCTTGTTTATCTACATCTCCGAAATATTTGCGAAGATCAAAGAGAAACTGGAACGATGAGCTTCCGAAGCTTTTTTAAATCATTGAACAAATCTTTGAATATTATTCTTATTAATGTTGTATACTAGTGGATACAAAATTAATCTGTGTAATGTATAAAGTATATGGTAAATATATGGAAAAATATTAATAATCTTTTTTCAGGAATATATCAACAAGTTTTCTAAAGTCACGATGACAAATAGTCCAACAAGTTTTTAGGTACATACATATGTATAATAAAAAATCCACATACCTAGTGGAAATATTTGAAATACACATTACATTAATACATAAAATGTGTTTCAATTGTAAAATTTTTTCTTAAGATTGTCACTCAATCATTTGGAAAACATACCCGTACATTAAACAAACAAATAAACTACCACCAGTCCTGATCGCTCTCTCCCTCATACACTCGCTCTTTCTATATTTCTATAAATCCTTAGTCCTTTATATTCAAAGCAAACAAACATTTATGTCAAGACGCACTACAGACAATTCATTCTTATTATCAATTGTTCAAATTTTGCGCCACAATTTGTTTACGCAGACTGCCGGGGACAGACATAAAGGAAAAAGAAAATACAAATCACTGCTTTCAGGCATTAAGACAGTTATCACCTGCTTTTCGTTGAGTTCTTTCATTTCAGAACATTTGCTCTTGCTTGGCTTAGCAACAATATTCTTCATCTTCTTTTTTTTTTACTTATAGCACAGTGTAAATATTTAATTAAATTTTCCTTTTTGTTTTGTGAATCCTTTATGAATATTTTCCTAAAGGCTTAAGTTTGATGTTTTTTTAATGTTGTTATATTTCCTGTGCATTTAGGTGCATTTTAGAGCACCCAATAAGATAGTTAGAAGATCGATTTAAAGACAGGTAGGATAAAAAGATTTTATTGTTGATATCATGTTCAGATATTGCTAGTGTTGTCATGTTAATGAGTTGAGATTGTTGTTTGATAGAGAATGTTGAGATACATATTTTGTTTAATCCTTTCATATAATTTGCATAAAAATAAGGTTAGAGTTGAGATTGAATATCTTTTGTATGGAAATTTAAGGTTCTTCCGGTTGTCATTAACCATAGCTATGTGCTAGTTATGATGAGTTTCGGGTAGTTTTGAAAGTCGTTGAACTTGGGAAAATCGTTGGGAAATTTGGTGTGAAAATTAAAATAAGATTTCCGTTAATAAAATTGAATACAATTTATCATTGAATCCTATGTTTTTTCTTAAAAAATCTAAATTAAATTTTCTCTCAAAAAATCGGTTTTTGGTGAGAATGAAATGCGATCACAGAATTAAATCTATCTCGTATAGGTTTCAATATAAATGGACTATAATTTCACTAAGTTATCCTTGTTTTGGCTAAATCCCTTCTAATACCTAAATAAATGGCTTTTATATTTTCACTCCAAAATTTTTGATTTTTGATGAAATATAAAAGTGACCTTTGGTGGAAAATATAACTGATTTTGAAAACTAGAGGGAGGCTCTATCCCCTCACAAACTATCGCTGAATTGTAAATAATTTTCTTGGCTAATATTGAAGATCAACTTATCCTGCGAATTCGATCCTTTTAACATTTTGAAATAACTTTTCCATATCTAAATTTCTAGTATTATCCATTTTTTCTATATAATTCCCTTAACAACCTGTCCTATTTCGAAATAAAAATTTTTATAAAATAAAATAGCGAAACATATCTTTAGATAACTTAACATTAAATTCCTTTGCTAAAGAAACATGTTGTTTTGTTTTTTTTTTTGCGGTTGTGACCTTAACGGCACAAATTCTATATGTCATTATACCAAAGAGACATCAATTCGATTGAACTTAACTCTAGGGATGCCTTAAAGCTTCTAGGTTAAATAGCAGTTTAGAATTACACTTTGTAACTGTCATATTGGTTTCATCAACCAGAGATGAACAGATGAAAATACCACAAGTATTTCTTCAATTTCTTTACATGCAGTTTTTAGACACTGAGAAAAATCTTGTAGTTAATAGGTAAAGTGGGGAAAAGCGTATTTATATAGGACCAGGGGATTTGTTTGTTGTTGTACTCTGGTTTG